GGATCTATACCAGTTCTTGATGTCTCTGTTGAAATGCATAAAACCCAATTTATTTAGAATAGAATAGAAAAATAACTTTATTCTGGGACACAGTCCCTTGAGAATAACAAAATAAAAGATTACATCTGGCCAAAATAAAATCAATCGAAAAAAAGAAATAATGTAAAAAAAATATAAGGTAAAGAATAATGTAAAATAAATAATGTAAAAATTCTATATACAAAACAAACAACACTATATACAAAACAATTAATACTATGACAAGACATTTAAAGATATTTGCACTGATAGACCAGTATACACTTTTAAGAAAATAATAAAGAATTAAAAAATAAAAATGTATCATATTCTCAATACGTCAACTTTTGAACTGATCAGAATATTAAAAGACTCCCTATTTTTTCAGTATATTTTATTTTATTTTTAGTAAAGGTTTTTAAGTTTTTAGGCATTCATCAATTCTCCTTGACATTTCCTTTCGTTTGATTCCTCATTCATCAAAATCCATCGCTCATGTGAGCCAGAAACGAGGTCTATACAATTGTATTGTATAGAGTGTAGATTGATTTATTAAATTGTAAATTATTTTTGAGTTAAAAATGTCTTCGAATCCTATATTTTTAGAGCTTTTTAAATAGAAATGATTTAATTTTCTTGAAACTTGTTTATGTTGTTATTATTATTATAACTATTTCTGTCTGCACCAACTGTTCTGATAAATTTAAGTACATTTATTCTGTTTTATTTTATGAATTTATTATATAATATTTACTGTTATTATGTTTGTTATTGAATGTTTATACAAATCATTTTATGAAAATTAATATTAAGGCTTATGAATTTCCCAGCTATTGAAGTTTGATTATAATTTAAAAAAAAATTATATCCCTTACTTTTATTTTTTAAAGTGTTTATGTATCAAATTTTTTTTTCTTACAATGTTTTGTTGTTATGGTAAAGAGAAAGTTTCATTTTGTAAACAAACCTATTGAAATGATGTAATTAAGGTAACCTTGTGCTAATAGATGGATTCATTGTTATTTTAAGTAATTATAATAATGTATGGTTAATATTTAGTTAGTAATATTGTATATAACTAAAGATTTGTCATGTTTTTCCTGTACACCTTGACTAAGGAGCTTGGTAGGTTGTGGTATTGATTTCCAGGAGCTGGCTAGCAGTTGCCTGTTAATCAATACAGAGAGCCCTTGTGGGCAAGTTGTGCTCACCAACATTTGAGCTCTAACTTTTCTTGTTTAAGTTTTTTTTATTCGACATCAGAGACTTTTGTCATCTGACAGTCACCAATTTAAACAGGTATGGGTAACCAGTTGATAGTCATACGTCATTTTTCAACATTCATGTGTTTTTAACCTTGCCCTCTCATGTTCATTCAGTGTAAACTTATTTCATAGTTTTGATATGAAAGTTCCTTGTCAAACTTTGTTTATTCTGTAACATTAACTTACTGTCAACATTTTGTAGGAACATTCTACCCATTGGGTTTCCCAAAATAAAAAATTACTTTCTTTCTTTAAATGATACTTTGTTTTATAAATCTATTTTTACAGTAATATATAAATTGACGAATAAACTGAATCTCATTTTAGAATTTGTTTCGTTTCTAATTACCCACTTATTGGATGATGAATGTTTATTTATTATTAAGTTTTCTCTTTTAAAATTTATATTGAAGTTTTTTTATTTTAAATCTTTTCTTTGGATGATTGATGTTTAAATTATATCAGCCAATCAATTATTTTTCTAGCATGTCATGTTAACTTTTGTTGTCTAATTAATGTTTTTATGTAAAAGGGAAAAAATTGTCTTTAGAAATGTATTTTGTTTGACTATTTTATGATTCATTTCATTCATAAATACCTGAAACTTATTATGTTTAATTGAAACATTGTTTTAAAGTTTATTTATTAAATTTTTAATAGGGTGTTATGAAAAAATAGTTATGTAATTATCATTAATTGCTTTTCTTTTTTCAATTATTATATGTCAAGGAATAATATTTGAACTTTTTATACTTCATTCATTTATTAGACGCATTTCAAATAACATTTCACCCTTAGTGCTAAATTTTTTATCTTTTATGCTTAAACAATTTACTTATCAGAATATGGATATATTTTTATTTTAGACCAAGCATTAATGGACATATAAGAATTGTTTTCTATGCAAAGATGAATAATTATCAACATTTTTAAATAATGATGCAGAATTTAGATAATTCAATGTAAGAATGCCCTTAATAGAAGCTAGATAACTTTAGAATGGACAAATAACCGCAAAACATTGTTTGAAATTCATTTAATAAATGAAGTATAAAAGAGTTAACATCATGATACTTTATTTATGACTGAAAATATAATAATTGAATACATTTTTATAATTTTGTTGAAAACTTAGAAGTGAAAAATTCTGAATTCATAGTCTTGTGTAATTGTAGGCTTTTTGTTGGTGTTATTGGAAATGTGTCATACCGAAGTCATCATATTTTTATTGTTCTGATTGTTTATATTATTTTTTTAAATTAAACCAAAATTTGTTATTGTGTTATAAACAAAGTCTGTGTATGTGTGCCTTTACATTCAATAATTAACAAGTTGACTCATCTGGGGCAGTTCCTTGACTTATTAACTTACTCCTCAGAGCAGAGTCCTTAATTTTATATTAATTTATATTAATCTTTTGGCCAGCAGTTTGGTCTACTTTCCAAATTCTACACTTGAGGCTGTCCTAGAGGTTTCTATAATAATTTTTTTTCAACCTATCCTGTATTGCTCATTGCTATATGTTGCCGATGTCCTTTCTTCAATTTATTAATTTTTTAAGCCTTGTATCACTTTTTAGTAATAATACCTCAAAATTTCAACCATTTCAAGATAACTATGTTATTTACTGAAATGCTTATAATTATTGATAAACATAAAACAATTTATTAATACTGAATACCCAATAGTTGGCCGTAGTATATTGATGAAAGAGATGGTCCTGAATGGCAATCATAAAAAAAAAAAAAAAATAAAGGTGTGGTATAGTTTCCTTTATTTTAAGTTTTTTTTTTTTTTAATACTGCCACTCTGAACCATCTCTTTCCTCAATTTATTAACACACTTGTTTTTGTTTAAAAAGTTCTTCTCTGGCTGTTAGGGAAAAAATGCTCAGACTTTGTCTATGACTCATTATTCCTTTTGAGTATACAGGCTTGATGAAATATTCTACAAGAACAATTTAAATTTTTTTTTTCTAACATGTTAAAGTCTTAATTTGAAAGCATGTCTCAAAAATGAAAGTGGATTAAATAATTGTTGTTAGAGATGAATTATCATTAATACTAGATTTACACTTCCCATGAAAATTGTTTTATTAATGGGCACAATAAAAAGAGTTTTTGTTAACGTGTCTTCTATTGGTTCTGGGAATTTTGGTGCTGAAAATTGCTGATTATCAGACAATCAGACAACTTAAAAAAATCTATTAAAATTTGAGTTTTTTTTATAATAATATTATTTTTTCAATAAATAATTTGTATGTAAAAATAAATTCAAGTGGGGATTTCAATTCAACCTGGAGAACTTTACCTTTTGGGAGATAACTTTCCTCCAACATTAGAATTCCTTTTTGTTTTCAACTTTGGAAAAATCTTTTTTGGTTCATTGGTAACTAACGTCAAAGAGAAGCCATTCCAAAGGCTGCCACTCCGTTAGTTTTAGCTTACATCATCAAAAATATTTTAGTTTTGTAATAATGTTATCTCCTGGTTTAAAGTTCCCATATTTTATGGCAGTCGTCACCATTCATTGAAAAATTCTCTACAGAACATTACAATTATATTAGGTTTATTAAAGAAATCCCTATTGAGCCACTATGCCTAGTGTCTTGAATTACGTACTTCATGAGGAAGTACTTTATCATGAATAATATTATACTGGGAGCTGATGTGGTCACCATCTCACAGCTCGATTGAAAGAATGGTTACCCACTTTATAGAAACATGGGTGTGCTTCCGAATCTCCTCATCTTAATCTTTCCATGGCCTTAGTTAAAACCTGGACTTGGAAATTATCCTCTAACTAACTTTTTTCCAATTAATTATTCCCAGCATAGAAATTAATTTCTAGATCTGTCTTTAGGCATAATAATTTATACATTAGTTCGAAATTAATACAAAAATTTGACCATTTTTTGCATCTCTGGTTTACTGGAGTACTTTAATGGTGCCATAGGAAGATTTTAGAGTGACCTGCAATTATGATATAGATTAATAAAAATAGAGTTTTAGATTAAATAAATTTTGATATTTATGTAACATAGGTAGAATTTCTAAGAATTAATATTTTGATAGGCTGTGTAATTCTAGTGTTGAAAAATGTATGTACTTTTTCTTCATTTTAATTATCCATTGTTGATTTTCCTCTAGTTTTATGTGCTTCTACTATTATTTTTGTATAGCTTTCGTTAGCTTTATAATATTTTCAGCTTCATGAGAATGTTAGACGATGAAGTACCAGGAGCTGTGGACACTATATATCTGTGCAACTTCCGTGTATCTGTCGACGGTGAATGGCTGTGTCTCAAAGAATTGCAAGATGTAGAAATCAATCTTCAAGAAAACTTTCCTGATCCTCTCACTCCTTCTCCGGTTGAAGCTCATTATATAATCGGTATTGTATTGTTTTGAAATGTGTTTTGTGTACTTTCATTATATAATCATGTGGATTTCTATTAATAAAATATTTATGTATTATTGAAGCTTTTATTTATTTGTGTAGTTCAATTTTCCCTTTTTATTTTCAATGATTTTTTGTTATCACTGAATAATATCATTATTTCCAATGCCTCAAATATAAAATTTTATTTGTCATAAATATAATTGTTGTGTACATATTTTCTTATTTGACTTTAAGATGATCACATAATTGATTTTGATGTTAATAATGAAATAGTTACAGTTTATTTATAATACTATTAAATATTTTCTATTTTAGCTCGAGATCCAGTCATAATTGAACGGCGGAATCTAGTAAATATATCAAAACTCATCGTAAAAGAGCTGATTGAAACTTCTATTAAATATGGCAGAATGCTCGATTCAGATCACATGCCATTGCAGCATTTCTTTATAGTGTTAGAGCATGTACTACGCCATGGATTACGGCCCAAAAAGGTAACTAAAAGAACTTTATTTAAGAACAAAATTTATGCAAGATATACTCAACTACAAAATAAAACAGTAGAAATTTAGAAACATGATCTTAAAAAACAAAATCAGTTATGACTATTCATCATAAACTGCCTTTTTTAATGAATTGTAAAATCATTGATTTATTTTTATAAATATTAGATCAGTTATCAAATCAAGTTTTATTTATTTCTGTGAAAGCAGTCTTTATATAACCTAAATAGACTTTTATTATTAAAATATCACTTTTTCTTATTTTATTAGTATGTTATTATTAATTTTAGCTTCCAATGCTGTAACATACTTTTCATATTTCAAAAATGTTATTTAGGGTCTGTTGGGTCCCAAAAAAGAACTTTGGGATCTCTTGCAGTGGGTTGAAAAATTTACAACGGAAGCTCAAGATATAACCAGTAGTGTACGTGATCTGCCTACTGTAAGGTATGTTTTAAAAGTTGTGTATCCTTTAATTTGTTAAAATTAGATATGATATAATTTTGTATGGTATATAGCATACAATTCTTTCTTAATAGACTTATTTTCCCTTATTTCTCTCATCTACTTAGCCATTTGGTATTGCCATATTTTATTAAATTTAAGCTCTTTTCTTTTGAATATTTAAATAAGTGCATATTCTTCTTCTTAATCAATTCCTATACTAATGTGGATCAGCGTAGAGGATCCTGTTTATAGAGTCTGATCCAGTTATCTCGCTCTTGCACCAACTGACTGCGTCTATTCCAGTTTATTCCTCTCCTATCGTAATCTTCCCTGACCGAACCTTCCCAGGTCTTTCTGGGCCTTCCTCTCGTCATTTTTCCTTTCAGTTTTACTTCATATATAGTTTTGGCCATTCTTCCCTGCTGCATTCTTTTGACATGGCCAAATCCCAGCATAGCCTGTTTTCCTCTATTGTATTTTCTGCTGGTTTTATTCCCAAATTGCTTCTTATGATTGTATTCCTGATTTTTTTCCCTCCTAGTTTTTACCTCTATTCTCCTCAGAAACTGCATTCCTATTGCTTGGATTTGTCTTTTATGTTTTGAGGTTATAATTCAGGATTCACTGCCTAAGGTCAGTGAGGGGACAAATGTATTTTTACACATTTTTCCGAATACCACAATATCGTCGGCATATGCCCAATCTAAGAGGTCTCATTCTTTCCTTTTGCTCTCTTCAGTGCCATGTTGAGCACTAATAAAAACAATAAAGGGCTTAGATTACAGCCTTATTCCTTGGGTGCTCTGAAACTCCCGTGAGGTGTGGTTATTGGTTCTGACCACACTTATTTTCTTTTTATATAGGCTAAGAATGGCCCCCAATAGGCCTGGATCGACTTCATGCTCGTTCAGTGCTTTGTTTATATCCTTATTGAATGGTTGGGTTAGGTCCGCAAAGCAGATGTATACTTCTTTATTCTTTTTCACAAGCTTTTCTGAGAGCTGCCTCATTACGAATATTAGATCTTGAGTGTTTCTTTGTGGTCTGAAACCATATTGTTGTTCTTCTAGGGCTTCTCTCAATGCATACTCTTAGTCTCTTCTCTAGACTTTTAGAGTATACCTTGCATGGTAAACTAAGCAGTGAGATGCCTTTGTGGTTTCGGCATTCAACGTAGTCTCCTGCAGTCTCCTTAATAAGGGCATATTAAAGTTTAAAATTCAATTTTATGCAATTTAGCTCTAAGGTCTTGCTAAGTCAATAAATATTGCTAGGTCAATTTCAACATAAAATTTAAACCCAAGCACCAATATTAAATTAATCATCCATAAGCAGAATAAAATTCACTTTTCTTTCTTTTATAAAACACCATAATAATTAAAAAATAGGTTTCTATTTGTTATTGTTTGAAAGTTCATACATAAATAATATTTATAAAGCGTATAAATTATACATATGAAATAATTTAAAAAATATACCTTATTTGCTATGTTCGCGAATTTCTATATTTAATCATTATATTACTCATTGAATTTTCTACTGTATCAGCAAAAACATTATTAAGTCATAAATTCGAGGATGTCTAATATTCACAAAAATACTGTGTATTCTTTTTGCTAATATAATTAAAAAACAACTTTTTAAAAATTTTTTAAGTTTGTTAAAACTGAACAAATTGATTACTTTTTACACTTTATTATACTTATAAGATAGTAGTTACAGAATAAATACAGTTTTCCTTGAATATTCACTGGTTCGACATGCTCCAAGTTTGATTAAGTGCTAATAAAAAAAACTTTACGTAATAAACAAACATATTTACTTGTTAGGTATGTTTTCGCTTGTAAAATGAATGAAACAAATATACATTGAAAAACAATTAATTTTGTGTTTGTTTGATAACAGAAATTGAAATTTTCTTTCAATCAGAACTAAAATAATTTAATGAGAATTACTTATATGAATATAGATGAGGTTTACAAAAGTTGAAGCATTAAGGTATGTATATATATAATTCTGCGACTTTGCAGAGAATTTTTGCAAACCTTATTCAAGATAGGGCATCATGTACATTTGGACATATACTGTAATTAAAAATAATAAAAAGTATATGCTTAAGACAAATCTGTGTTTTTGCTGACCATCATAATATGTAAACCTCTCATTAATACAGGAAGATGAATTCAGAATTCGAGATTCATGTGATTTTCACAGAATGTAGCCTCATTAATTAACAGATCACTGTAAAATATTATTTGTTCTTAAGAAATAAAAGACGCCTTCCCTTATATTTTTTTCTAAATGTTCTTGTCCTTTCTACTGACCTTCATAAGACTAACTCATTTATAAAACCTACAACTCCTCTCATGCTTGTCAAATTTGAGGACTGGAAAATTCTTTTCCTACTATATTAATGATATTTTCAGGACACAGATGGGTCGAGCACGAGCTTGGCTGAGGTTAGCGCTAATGCAAAAAAAACTTGCTGATTATTTAAAAATTCTTATTGACCATAGAGATGATGTCCTTTGTGACTTCTTCGAGCCAGATGCTCTCCTCATGAGTGATGAAGCCATTATAATCGTTGGCCTTCTGGTTGGCCTTAATGTCATCGATTGCAATCTTTGTGTTAAGGTGTGTGATCGTTCTTTTAAACATTTTATTTTTTATATTTTTATTTCTTATTATCAGTATTATTATTATTTATTTTTTTTTTTATAGGAAGAAGATCTCGATTGTCAGCAAGGTGTTATTGATTTTTCTTTATACCTCAGATCCAGTCATCATACCTCAGTCGGAGACTCACCGGAGGAGGATTCAGACTTAGATAATATGACAACTGTTTTAGATCAAAAAAATTATATTGAGGAGTTAAACAGGCATCTGAAGTAAGATTTTTTTCATATTTTTAGTTTAAAATAAAAGTAAAATCTTAACAAAGTACAGTAAAACTGGTGTTGATTGGAAACTGGAAGGTTGAACCATTTAACAACAATCTTAACAGTCATCTTAGCTATTTTCTTAAGATTGTTAATACAACACTTAATAAGGTTTTATTGTAATAGGAACATCTGTTTTTATTAATTTGAGAAGGAGTTGGTCAAGGGTGAGGTCAATATATAATACTATATATTCTAAGAATTTTATTGTATATAATTACATTGTAAGTGAAAATTTTGACAAATAAAATAAAATACTATTATAATATATAGTATTATATATTGACCACATCACTGATCAACTCCTCAAATTGTGATTACGGTAAATCTTTTCCACACCATTTTTTTTTTTTATTCTACATTACAGTAACTCTGTAATGGGTGCATATATTTCTTCCATCTTGCTACATAACACATATTGAGATACATGGTTAGTTTAAGTAATATAATATAGATACATTACAATACTTTAAATAATTAGAAAATAAAATAAATAAATGTACATAACAAATTATACTATTAAAAGAGAAGTAATTAAATATAATTAAAAATACACTGAATATAAGCTTTTCGGAAGTCTGGAGGACCGCTAATTTTATATTTTTACTTCCTGACATAGCCATCTAGAGGGAATAACGAAGAAGAAGAATATAATACACAAATAACTGAAATGAAAAACAATAGTGATAAGTTATGGATTAGATAATGATGGTTTAGAATATTTACAACAGATATGTGATATGTCAGAATAAGACAATATCTAAAGATTTAGGATAGGAATTAAGGGTTTGATACAATATTTACAATGAATAATACAATTCAGTAAAGCAATTGATGTAGGTAGTGTTATTAAGGAATGGTTTGGCAACAGTTTAATTACTAAGTTCAGAGAAATCAATTCGTTACACAAATGCATCAAATTCTGAGAAATATTTTTCACTCAGATCCTTCTTTCAAGGCGGCCATTGGTCTACGTTCACCATGACAGCTGAGACCAATTTGTGTCTTTTTATTAATTGTTTAACATTTATGCTTTGTATGAGTCATTCTCAGATTAATTGCTAATATGTTGAACAAGTCTTTACTGACTTTTCTTTTTGGAATTTCTTTTGGCTAAATTATTCAATATATTCCTGGTTTGTTATACTACTTAAGGAAACAACAGAAGTACCACTATTTATCTATTTTAGTTGTTATCTGATCCACAAAGGGCAACCCATTCTGAATACTAGAGTCTCCGCTAGATCTCCATGTAGTGAAAACAATGAAGTTCTGTTTTAATTAAAAAGTTATATAATTTTATTTCTTTAGTTTAAAAAAAAAACAGATTTTTTTAGTGTGATATTTAGATCCATATTTTCTTTTATTGTCATGAAATGATATTTTTTATCATTTCCTCTATTTATTTATACTTCTCGCTAAATTTTACTTACTAATTTTAATAGAAATTAAAACTTTTTAAAACTTTTATTCCACTTAAAAAAAATAAACAGGATATTTATTGTTAACATTAAATTTTCATGTATGAAATTAATCAAAATTTTGTTTATTATTAATTGTGTTTATTAACAGTTAAATCATATGTATGGAATTTATTTAATCATTCATTAATTAATTTACACACATCAAATTTCTTGTTTCGTTATGATCCTTTCAACTGTTAACTATTCACTTTTTATAAAACTATTTTTTGTTATGAATTATTTTTTTTATAAATGGCTAATTGGTATATAAAAACATGCAATCATTTCAGTGCTACAGTCGCAAATTTACAAGCTAAAGTTGAATCTCTCACAACAACCAATGCTTTAATGAAGGAAGATTTGGCAATTGCGAAGAAAAATATTATGGCAATCACTGAAGAAAATGCTTATTTAAAGGCTGATAAAAAGTTGGATACAATTAGCGAAAAAGCAGAAGAGGTATAAGTGATTTTTTTTTCTTTAAAAATGTAAGTTTATAAATTAATGAATTATTGTATGTATGTGTGTTTTTTTTTTAAATAAATACCATGAATGTTTAAAAAATTTTTTTTGAACTTATATAACTTTTTTCGTAATGCATAACATATAAGTTTTAACTTGGAAACTTTGAAATTCGTATTTATTGAATTCATTATAAGAAATTTCATGAAAAGATTTTAGTCTGTTATTTGACTGGAAAAGAAATAAAAAAGAAGTAAAATCTAAATTCTCTTCTCAAAATATGGTTAATATGTATTTAGTGCTTGCTGTTTTACCTAGAGAGGTCTTTGGAGGAGTTTTCAATTTTTTTCCCATGGGTGAACTTTAGATTCTAAAAAGAAAAACACAAAAAGTCCTAAATTTTTCTCATTATGTTATATATATAAATTGTGTTAAAGAAAATTGGAGGGGACGGGGTGAACTGGTTGAGTTTGATATTTGCTATGTTATTTACCGTGAATGCCTAACTCAATCCTATAATTGTTGTTAGCTTAGTGAAACATTTCCAGGTTAAAAACTTACATCCAAGAAATATCTTTCATTTTTTTTTGACTGTATCACCACTTGATAGTATTTGTGTATTGTATAAAATGTGTTTTATTAGCTTTTATTAATAAATAAAATAAATCAGCCATAATAATATAGAAATGGCCATAATTAATTCCAAAAAGACCTTCCCGGCACATTGCTATTTGAAATTATTAGCTAAATGTGAACCTCATTTTTTAAATTAAAAAAAAGTCTCATTCTTTTATTTATTTATTTTTGTCACATGAATTATATTGAACAATGTATGTTCTGTATCAAATCCCTAAATAAGTATTCTAGCCAATATATGGCTGTATCGTGACCTGCTATTACTGGAAAAATTATATAAAACTATAATGTGATAAACAATTATAAAACTAAGTTAAATCAACATTTTTTATATGTATTAAAGGATTCTTCTAAAGAGAAAGAAATGGCTAAAGAAATTGAACGCCTCAAGCTAGAATTGGAAGCCGAGAAAAAAAAATCAACAGAGGTCCAACATGAACTTGATCTACAGGTAAAGAAATAATGTTTAATAGTTTAATATATTTTGAATTCATCCGTGGTTAAGTGATAGAATTTATAACTGAGAAGGTCAAAAGTACAGGAGATTAAGTACTGAAATTAACACAAGATGTATAAATGCGCTTAGTGATGCGGCATAGAGGTCCCAGTTTTAATTTAAACTATGAATCTCGTGTCTTTACTAATGTATTCATTTTTCTAAATAGTTTTGTATTTTCTCATCCCCTGTTTGTTGTAACTTTTTCTTATATTTGTTGATATTTTTGATAGAATACCTACCATATTCGAAACTATACTTATTCAGGAATGTTTTTTTTTAATTTTTACTTTCACTTACCTATATATGAAATATATAGTACAGGAAAATATTGCGATCGTGAACATTTTCGAATCTGAGTTTTCAATGGAAATACACATTTTGAGGTTCCCTGAGTCCAAATAATCAAGTCCAAAGTCCAAATTACCAAGTAAAGTGAAATTGCATATTTAAGATTTTTATATGCTAGGGATGTTACAGCAATTTTTTTGTCAAAATTGGCTTACTGGAAGTGACATTTTATATAATGCCTGTTCACCCTGTTTGGGTATAGACTAAATGGTGGCAAAACTATTTTATTAAAAGCCAATGTTTCAATGCAAGCTGTTTCAAGCCAACTCAAACAGGTCAGCAAATTCCCCATTACCTACCCTTACCCTGATTTTCCAGTTCTAAGTGAAATTTCTAGCTAACACACCTGTAAGTCTCCATTTTTATTCTTCTAATTTTATTTACTTATTTATTTATTTTTTGGTTTTCTTTTTTCTTTTCTTTCTCCACATTCCTTTATGTCTATTATTTCATATTATATCCTTTTTCCTTTTCTTTCAATCTCTCCTGTAGATCTGTAGAACTAAATTCACACATATATTATACATTTGCATATATTATATATTACACTACAACAATTGTTACCATCTATTTACTTCAGTTTAGGATCTTATTACTTAGCTTACTCTTTTTATATTTTAATGTACTTACTGTTTATAATTTTATTAAGCTTATTCATATTGTTTATAATTTTTTGTCTAAATATTACGTAACTTCCACGATTCTCTATATCTTTTTGTATCTTGTCCGTTCTGGGCCTGAAGAAGACCTGCAAAGTTGGGTCGAAACGTTGGCTTTTAATAAAATAGTTTCGCCACTATTTAGCCTATTTATGACCGCCATAAACCAGGGAGGACCATCTCCTTCCTTTATAATGCAACGGTCAACTATTAAATATTCAATACGAAAAAAATATATTTTTTTTCTCTGACTGCAACCACAACCAACTTCCCAACCCAACCATATAAATAAATTATTATTATATTCTTTGTCTTAACATTTCAGTCTAAGTTTCCGGCCTTCATTATCGCTAAGCAAAGACCAGTAACAAATAAATATTGAGAAATCGTATACAGCAATAATAATAGTATGCAGATAAAATATTATAGTAAAATAATATTTAGGTAGTTAAACTTATGTTAATAATTATAAGGAATGGAAAATAAGAAAAAAAAATACATTCAAATTCTGTTTTTTAGCTAAATGAGTTTATATTTTGTACTATTGAATGTTTAAAAAGAGATATTAATTATTGGATGGTGTTTTAGATAAGTTTAAAAGCTGAAATGGAAGTTGCAATGAAACTGCTGGAAAAAGACATTCACGACAAACAAGACACAATAATTTCTCTGAGGAGGCAGTTGGATGATATAAAACAGATCAATTTGGATATGTACAGAAAATTGCAGGTAATTAATAATGTTTTATTATCTAAGTGGTTAATGTCATTTATTTTTTAAGTTAATTTTTTTTTTTTAAATAATTTCCTTTAAATGTTAATCTATCCGTTTTATTTCAATTATTATTACATTTTTACTATTCTACTAATTAAATTACATTTTAACGGTTCTGTTTTATAATTATGGTTGCTGCATGTGTATTGTGGGATGTGAGGTGGTTTGCATGTTCGGTAATGGTTGTTTGATAGGAATGCGAGATTGAGCTGACCGAGAAAGGAGAGATGGTGACAAGGCTTCACAACAAAACGATGCAGATTGGCCAGCTTCTTGATGGCCTGAAGAAGTGCCAAGAGAAACCCAAACCCATATACAAGAAATAACCATTGAACACCCTCCCTAACTGACACGCTACTAACTAGATCTTCTCCTTCAGATTTTGTTCTATACTTTCTCTTGCATTTTGTATTTTATTTCCTTCATTTCAATTTTCGTATGTATATATATTTATAAAATTGTAGCATGTTTTCACTTATGATGCTTTAAAAAGAGAGGCATAAATTTAAGCACAAAAATATTTATAACAATATTTATAGTAATATTATTAACCAATACATTTTTCAATTTATTTTTCTGAGAGCCTATTTTATTAACCATAACTAACACGTTATTGATGCCTTAAACATTTTGTCGATTTAGCTATATTGTATAAGCACCTAATATGGAAATGGGAACACTTTATTGATGATCGTGTGCTTAAATGTATGCAATTAGTACTTCCATTGCATGTCTTAAGACATTATATTTTGTATTCTCCATATGGCTTAAATGTTGGTGTTATAAGTGTCAGTTATGGACTGTTGTTAATTGGTTGTGTGGATATGTTAACTATTAAGAAATTGTTCAAAAAGTGTAATGTAATAACTGAGGACCGAATTTATATGTAATAAAAAACTTATAATATGAAATATTTTTTGACAAATGTATACAAAGTTATCTAAAGTAAAACAACATTTTTATGAGTATAATGAAAAATTAAAACTTATGATTTTTAACTATTATCCAAAATGTTAAATATTGTACCTTTAAAAATGATAAAAAATAATAGTAGTTTTGTCCATAGACTTCCATTTCAACCCGTAATAAGATTGCAAAATTTTGTATTAATTTAAAGAAAAATTATCGAGAGGTTTCCTTATGCTCTCCTGTTGCCTAGAATGCCAAAACCATTTTGAAAACGTGTATACTCTGCATGAAGACAGTTCACAGTGTTTTCCTTTCTTTTTGTGTTGTCCTTGTTCAATTTTGTTTAAATGATCTGAATAACTTTAGAACATTAATGGCTTGAAACTGTTGCCCCACCTCGCAAAATTAAACCTTTTTCATTGAATGTTTCATTTTTGAATACTTGATTTTATTTTAACAACTTAGCTTCGGTTTTTTTTTTTTTTTTTTTGCCTTGTTTGGTACCAATGGCTAGCAAGGGGTGCCCCATCGCTTTATTATGCATGCCTCAACAAATGGTTCCCCATATTGAGGTGTGCCATTATGGTACCCCCTTCTCTTGTAACCTGCTACCTTCACAATAATTGTTTTTATGTTGTATAGAAGCTTTTTTTTAAAAATATTGTTCATCTTTTTAAATTTTGAGGATATACATTATGAAAACTGTTGTTTATGCGTATACTATTTTTACTGGGATAGTTATTTTGTTACCTATTTCAAACATGCTCAGTCTAAAATACTTTTTCATTCTATGTATTGAATCTAAAGTAAATCTTTTAATTTAGATCTAGAGAGTTAAACAAATATTAATACATATAAATCCGGTCCCTTCATGTGATATAGTTACTAACAAATATACTTAATGTTTTATAATTTGAATTGAGATCAATTTATTTTTAATAATATTTCACCAAAAAGAAGCAGTGTTGCAGCTTTTTAGGTTCTTAAAATTTATTTCTGTCTAAAATTTGTCAGACTGTTTAGATTGTACTATGGTTTGTAGCGAATTCTTAATTTGTTAATTTTTTGGAAAGACGAGTTATTGCAGAGGTTGTTAATTGGTTCTCAGGAATGTGAATCTTCGCTCATGCACAAAATGGAGCTCATTTCCAAGCTGGAAGCTAAGACCTTTGCAATGACTGACACGCTACAAATCATGGACGACAAGTATGTACTATTGTTTTTTATTTTTTTTATACTTTATCAAGTAGTTGATACTATTTTTAGAGCTAATGTAACATGTTATTTTGTAAACTTTTTACCAAACAGCCAGCTTAAAGCAGACTCACATTTCATTTTTTGTTTGCTTCTTTTATCATTTGCATATAGCTTAAAAAAAAAATGAAAAATAGACAATGTAATAATTTTTCCTTGATATAAATGAATATTTATGATAAAAATTCAAAAAAAATAAAAAAATAAACTAGCTAATTTTTATTTATAAAATAAAATAAAAAATAGTAGTGCTAAATGTTGGATAATTTGTAAAATGAAATGGTGAAGTGATTTGATTAAGGTGAACATCTGAAATAACCATGTATTTGCAAAGAATAGTTGTTGGTCAAAATAGAACTCTTTTATTGTAGCTTTGCCAATCAGCTTTCTGAAAGATCTCATAAATGTAGGAAATTGCATTGTATTCAATCACTGGCATGTTTCACAGTTGAATCTGCTTCTGAAATACTTTGTGTAAAATAAAAAAAAATTGCTGAAAGGGTTTTGTAAAATTATGAATAGTGTAAAGTTGCTTCTCATCGATAGGTACAATTTTTAAATGGGTTTTTTTCATTTTTCTTTTCATTTGAAACTTTGAAAGGTTGAGAATGAAATGATTGTATATGTACATAAAGAGTAAATTGATTTAATTGAATTTCATTATCACTCCAGGCAGCCATTCAGAGTGGTGATATATGAAATGCATTGTAGTCTATTTAACACATATGTATATTTTGTAATTGTATTTTGCTGGATACATACTCTTGTAAATTATAAATAAAAGCTACACTGATTTATACTTAATTGCTTTTCATTTCATTTTAGTTATATATGTATTTTTTTTTATTCAAAATTTTTGTTTTTATCCCTTTTTATTTTTACCCAAAATTTCATTATTCTGGCAATATCTTAATGCAGAAGATTGAGGACAATTTTTTATTTTTTTTTTATTTTTTAGATCAGAATCCCTTAAAGCTTAAATGTCTTAAATTGAATTATAATATCAATTTTATTTAATGCTGTGTTGGATTATTTAAATTAATGTCTGGGCATTTAATTACATATATTCCTCCATTTATGCAGTGAGCCAATTTCCTGATTTTGTGAATGAAAATCCTATAAAATTCACCAAGAGACAAAATGAGTGATCATCCATTAGTGTTTGTTATAGTTTTGAATAATATTTTATTGATAACTCTATGTTCCTTTAAAATACTGACTTAAGAAAAGACTGTTTTTTCAGCACTTAACTACTAATGCCTAAGTGTTCTTTAAATATTTTAAAATATGTCTTGTGTGTAAAATAAAAAATAACTTTATCTCAATGAAGTCATCAAACTGAAGACGCTTTCTGTCAGGTCACCTATTTTAGTGATTGGTTGTTTTTAGTTTTTCCACATAAATTTCAGATGTTATTTAATTAACCCTTTAGATGCTCAAAGCCAATATAAAGGCCGGCTGTGACACCATTATGTAGTGCCAGTATAGTGGCTCTGGAAAGACCATGGCCCAGGTGTGCAGAGCCAATATGTTGGCTTCAGCTTTTTATCGTTACTTGCGCAAAACCAACACTCCGGCTCATACATAGCTCTTTACCGGGTACACCATTAGGCATAGGTTGTTGCTGGCACCACTCGATAGCGTGAGATGTATTATTTAGTCGTGGATATCCTTTAGGGTGAGGGGTCTGACCTTAACCCTTCGTACTCCTCCTTCTACCCCCTTTTCACCTTTTTTATTCTTTTCAACACAGTTTAGCTCGAAAACTAATAGCAGTTGGTAGTGTTTTGAAGTGCAAAAGTTAAAAATAAGTTTTAAAATGTATAAAGTTGATGAGGTTCGTAAGATTCTTATGAACAGTGATTTTGAAGATGAAGGAGATTTTTCTTCATCTTCAGATTTAATAAAATTTATCATCCAATGAAACCTTCATTAAATTTTTCCCATATCAAACATTAATAGAAATCAGTTAATAATAAAAAAAGGATAGTAAAAAAATTAAATGATGAATAAAAAAATAATGACACTATATGTACCAAAAAATATATTAGAATACTTTGAAAAATAATGTAAATGTTACAGTATAATGTAAAAGTAATGTAAGTCAATTATAAAATTAAAAGGAAGTTTAAATTAAAAAAAATATTTAATTGTTTATTGAAATATGAGCTAACATCATATTAAATAAAAATGTGTAAATCAGTTATATATATAAATATATATTTTAATGTGAAAAGTGCAAAAAGATGGGAGCAATTCAGTGAATAAATCCCACGCACATGGGTTTGGCAAGACCTTCAGTATCCCGCTCATATGGGATCTGATCTTGATTCAGGCTCCGTGCAACAAGAAGGTTAATATGTAATTGGGAGTGCATGTAGCACTTGTTCATCATCTAAGAGAAACAGGAACGTTGTAATTAAAATTGTGTTTTTATAATAGTTTGATTTATTTTGAGTAGGATTTTCCTCCTCTTTTGTATGTTAATGCTTACTACATATTGATGTAATAATGTTTTAGACCTATTTTATACAAACTTTATCCTTTATGTAATTTTATCCTTACTACTCAAATTGCTTTTGGTTTTATGGGACATCCTCATTATTCGTCTTGATCACTTTTCCTTTTGTCGTTGAATAGGATTTAGAACAATGTGATTTGATACTATATATTTATGGTTTTCATGATCGGGGTTAGAGTAGCTCATGTTAAAAAATAAAATAAATGTATTCAGTAATTGGTCTGCCAAAAATTAATCTATCAGTCACTTCAACAGGCCATCAGAGTTGCCTCATTTAATGGTAGCAATGAACTTTGTGAAATTATCTTGAATATCCTTTCCTAATAATAATTAGTTGGTTGTAGTTTTTGAGGAAAAACAGATTTACCACTAAAAGCGACTTGTTACATTAAGAAGTTTCTCAGATAACATAGTATTCTGAATATGGTTTATTGAAGCTAAAGTTTGCATTTCTAGAAAACTTTGTATGGATTTGAAAGAGAAAAATGTAAAACATAAAACATATTTTTATTTCAATTTCTTACATAAATTACCAATTATTTTTTCAATTTTATTTGAACAACTTTTATTTTTAAATACAAACTGCTTTTCATGTGCTGCTTTTTGTGCGTGCTGATTGAAATATTTTAAAGATTAATTTTATATTATTTTCTTGAATGATTTTTTAAAAAATAATAACAAATAATCAATATCATCCTGAAAAATTAAATGATCAAGAAAGTACATTAAATCCTGGGTAAGTAACATATTCTTTTCTGTGTATAAAAGAATAGAATTTGAAAGCGCTCCCAAGAAGAAGAAAGTTAAGCCCAAAACATAAGGGGAACGAGAAGACTACATATATATGGGGTTATTCTACAGGGCATTTAAAAACAAAATTAAAGGGTACGCTGTGCCACATCTAAATTTTCTGATGAAAGACTAGGAAATAGCTCAGAATGAAAAAGAAAATGACGAGATACTTGCAGAATATTCTGAGAGCTTAGTAAATTGTGTGGTACCCACTATCAAACTAGAAACCAAGACGGACACTACACAGAACCTGAATAGTTCACCACTAAAAATAGAGGAAATGAAGGAGATGGGAGGAAAAAAAAATGAGTTAAAAAGCCTAGAAATGGTATTAGCGTGATTCTTAGTTACCCTATATCATGATAAATATATATATATATATATATATATATATAT